CTAACCCCATTCCAACAGTCGAAACGTTGCAAATCTCTCGCTACTCTATGGCTATATTCAAACGAGCTACATTCTTCAGTTCCCGTTATTGTATCGAACCACATGGATTACGAAGGTAATCCATGTAGCATGTAATTTCCACTCGAACAGCTTCCTCACACGAACAGCTGAAGTGTGTCATCGACTGCCAAGTGCATGCTCCCTTGGTTACTACAATCATAACCTGTTCAAGGTTAATCGTTATCTTTCTTTCATATCTCCATAAACAACGAGGCTTAAATCTGTAGCCCTGTATATCGAGTGGGTCGGTACATGTTGAACCTTATTGTAAAAAAAACAAAAAACAAAAAAAAAAAACATTTCAGAGCCAAAGCATCACAGAGATGCAAGTTAATTTTGCTTGTTTCAATCTCTGGGGAAATGTTCTTGAACGCGATTTATTCGTTGTGTAATCAGATTTATATTGTAGAATCCAGTTAAATATTGTAGAGAAATGCAATAGATTTAAGTGATGTACGTAAGATCTCAATTCTGTGCATTAGTACAGAATACAAAGAGATCACTTCAATTCTGTACAAAAGTAGGATCACACGGACTTCAATTTCAAATTTCACATTAGCATTTATTGACCAATCAGCGAGTTTGTCTCAAACGTAATTCAATTGAATATATACATTTGTAATATATATATATATATATATATGTGTGTGTGTGTGTGTGTGTGTGTGTGTGTGTGTGTGTGTGTGTTTGTGTGTTTAGATAGATAGATAGATAGATAGATAGATAGATAGATAGATAGATAGGCTGAGAACATAGATAGATAGATAGATAGATAGATAGATAGATAGATAGATAGATAGATCTGAACAGACTGAAATAGATAGATAGATATGAACAGGCTGAGATAGATAGATAGATAGATAGATAGATAGATAGATAGATAGATAGATAGGATAGATAGATCTGAACAGACTGAGATAGATAGATAGATAGATAGATAGATAGATAGATAGATAGATAGATAGATAGATACGAAAGCTTTTTGGGGATGGCCAAATTTGCATTCCAAAATCTAAACCCAATATTAAAAGACAGAAAAACGTCATTAGAAACAAAGAAAAGAGTACTTGAACTGTGATGTGATATATGTCATTTTCTATGGCAGATGGACAATCCCCTCAAAGATAAAAAAAAAGAAAGAAATTTGAAGCAACCAAAATGTCGTTCTACAGAAAGATGCTGAGGATACCATGAACCGAACATGTGAGCAGCAACAAGGTTTTATTGAACGTCAGGAAGAAACAGTGGAAATTTCCAGAGCACGTAAGGAGGTCGGAAGGCTTAGAAAATCTGATACGCACTGGACATATTGATGGAATATGGGACAAAAGGCAGGAATGCTTGACATACTTAATAGGCTTGAGCAATTTGATGACAGAACAAGGTTTGGGAGAAATAACAAAAAGAAAAAATTATAAAGAGCTACAAGTGATAGGAAGATGTGGAGATCCATGATCGCCTAAGTCCTGATTGGACACACCAGATAAAAGAAAAAAAAACAGGCGGAGATAGATAGATAGATAGATAGATATGAACAAATGGATAGATAGATAGATAGATAGATAGATAGATAGATAGATAGATAGATAGATCAGGTGGCAGTAAGTAACAGAAAATTAATTATGATTTTAAGAAAAGAACGATATTTTATGGAGAATTCAAATCAAATAGTTTCAAACAGTAAAATGGTTTTAAATAGAAAAAGGAAGACTATCATTGGAACCGCTTTACCTGCTAATGAACGAACATGATGCGAAAATACGTCATGCTTGGATCACGTGGTCCTTGTACACGTTGGCTATAGCTTTCACAAAAGCAGACTTCAGCGAGCCCTTCGTAATCTACGGTCGCTCTTGTTGACGCCTCAGGCGTAGGTATTTCAAATCAGGAGAACTAGGGACCACATTGTCGCGGAAATTCTCGCCAAGTCGCTTAAGCGAGATGAAAGATAAAAGAGAGTCCTGTTAGGAAACACACTCCATCCAGATCTAGTTTTCTGTGTGTGCATATATACAGTGCTGTTCGATAAAAGTGACTCACCTGATTTTTTTACTAAATGACGAATGATTCTTATGACATGACCATACCGCAATCTCCTGGCCTGAACCCAATAGAGAACTTATGAAGCATGTTGCTCAACTGCTTTCTCGAGAGCCTGTACTTTAAGTTTTCTGCGGGTTGAGGTCAGGAGATTACAGCGGCTTTTTCATAACAGTCACATCTTCCTTCATCAATTTGATTTGTGACAGGAGCATTATCCTGCATAAAAAATGAGCTTGGGGGGTCGATTTGCACCCGTTCAGCAGAAGGGAGCAGACAAGACTGTAAAATTCTCTTGTACTGAGGGTTTTTTTTCCCGGTTTTAAGAAACCAGTTCCATGAAAAGAAAAGCACCCCAGAACATTATACTGAACGGATGTTGATAGTACCTGCTAAATTCAAAGAGCTTTCAAAGCTTCTTCTTTGGATTTTAGATCGCTTATCCTTTGAATTTTCCTTTCATCGGAGGAGAGAACATTTAGTAAAAAAAAAATCAGGTGAGTCACTTTT